TATGTATGGCATGGCATGTGAGGTGTTAACGGATCACAAGAGCCTTCAGTATTTGTTCAAGCAAAAGGAGTTGAATTTGAGGCAGAGGAGGTGGTTGGGTTGTTGAAAGATTATGATATCACTATCATATATTATCCGAAAAAGGTCACCGTGGTAGCCGATGTTTTGAGTAGGAAGTCAGCCAGTATAGGCAGTCTTGCTTATATTCTGGTCGGTGAGAGACCACTTGCATTGGATGTTCAGGCTTTGGCCAATCAGTTTGTAAGGTTGGATATTTTTGAGCTCAGTCGTGTGTTGGCTTGCACAGTAGCTCGTTCTTCTTTATTGGAGCGTAACTGTGATCGACAATATGATGATCCCCATTTGTGTGTCCTTAGAGACATGGTGCAACACAGAGGTGTTAAGAAGGTTACCTTAGGTGATGATGGAGTTTTGAGATTGCAGGGTCGAGTTTGTGTGCCTAATGTGGATGGGTTTCAAGAGTTGATTTTGGAGGAAGCCCACAACTCCAGGTACTCTATTCATCTGGGCGCCGCGAAGATGTATCAGGATTTGCGGCAGCATTATTGGTGGCGGAGAATGAAGATGGATATCCTGGCATATGTGGCTTGGTGTTTGAATTATCAATAGGTTAAGTATGAGCATCAGAGACCTGGTGGTTCATTTCAAAAGATTGAGATTCCTAAGTGGAAATGGGAGCGTATCACTATGGACTTTGTTGTTGGTCTCCCATGGACTCAGAGGAAGTTCGACGCAATGTGGGTCATTGTTGATAGGCTGACCAAGTCGGCACATTTTATTCCTGTGGCAGTCTCCTATTCTTCTGGGAAGTTGGCTGAGATTTATATCCGGGAGATTGTTCGCCTTCATAGTATGCCCGTGTCTATCATTTTGGACCGAGGTACGCAGTTTACCTCACGCTTCTGAAGGGCAGTTCAGCGAGAGTTAGGCACACAGGTAGAGTTGAGCATATCATTTCACCCTCAGACGGACGAGCAGTCCGAGCAGACTATTCAGATTTTGGAGGATATGCTCCGAGCTTGTGTCATTGACTTTGGAGGCTTGTGGGATCAGTTTTTGCCTGTAGTAGAGTTTCCCTACAACAACAGCTACCAGTCGAGTGTCCAGATGGCTCCTTATGAGGCTTTATATGGTAGGCGGTGTCGGTCTCCGGTTGGATGGTTTGAGCCGGGAGAGGCTCGGTTTTTGGGTACGGATCTGGTTCAAGATGCCTTGGACAAGGTCAGGATTATTCAGGATAGGCTTCGTATAGCTCAGTCTAGGCAAAAGAGTTATGCCGACCGCAGGGTTCGAGATTTGGTTTTATGGTCGGTGAGCGGGTATTGCTTCGAGTGTCGCCTATGAAGGGCGTGATGAGATTCGGGAAGAAGGGCAAGCTTAGCCCTAGGTTCATTGGCCCGTTTGAGATTCTTGATTGAGTGGAAAAGGTGGCTTATAGACTTGAATTGCCTCTGAGCTTATCAGTCGTGCATCCAGTGTTTCATGTGTCCATGCTTTGGAAATATCACGACAATCCATCCCACGTGTTAGATTTCAGCACTGTCTAGTTGGACAAGGACTTGTCTTATGAGGAGGAGCCGGTAGCTATTCTAGACTGGCAGGTTCGTCAGTTGAGATCAAAGAGTTTTCCTTCTGTTCGTGTTCAGTGGAGAGGTCAGCCTCCTGAGGCATCGACTTGGGAGTTTGAGTCCGATATGTGGAGCCGTTATCCCCATCTTTTTCCTGACTCAGGTACTTCCTTCTTATGTCCGTTCGAGGACGAATAATTGTTCTAGAGGTGGAGAATGTGATGAGGGTCATCACTTGATTTTAAATTGAATTCTGTTCTTCTGAGGCCTTAAAAATCTCTTTTAGCATCACCTCGATTTGCGGGCGCAGTCCGGGCGCGTAGTCGAAAAGCCTAAATGTAAAAATCTGTGAAAAATGATAAATTTTGACTATAAAATGAATTAATTTGACTTCGGTCAATGTTTTGGGTAAACAGACTTGGACCCATGATTTGACGGTCCCGGAAGGTCCGTAGGAAAATATGGGACTTTGGCGTATGCTCGGAATCGAATTCCAAGGTCCCAAGCCCGAGAAATGAATTTTTGAAAGAAATTGTTTTCTGAAAAATATAAATGTTTTTGAAAGTGAAATGTTATGTGAAACCTGTGGTATCAGGCCGTGTTATAGTTCCGGATACCAGTACAGGTTCGATATGATTTATATATGTGTCTGCAAAGTTTGGTGAACAACGGAGTTTATTTGACGTGAGTTGGACTTCCGGTTGGAGAGTTATGAACTTTGAGAGTTCTTGATGAAAATGTTGAGTTTTGAGGTTTAATTCATGATTTTACATGTTATTTTGATGATGTGATCACACGAGTACGTCCATATTATGTTTTTGAGGTTGTGTGTATATTTGGTTTGGAGCCCCGAGGGCTCGGGTGAGTTTCGAGTAGGTTCCGGGGTGTCTTAGGCTTAAACATGGCTTTTGGAGGTTCAGAAAAAGCTGCAGCTCTTTGAACCTGCTAGTGTTGTCCGCACTGGTTTTGTGTTGTCTGCACTGGTGGTTGTGCGGCCGCAGCGGATCTTGTGCGGTTCGCACAGGTTCACTGGTGACTGTGCGGCCACAGTTGATTTTGTGCGGTCCGCACAGGGAGTCTGAGAGGCTGTGCGACCGCAGTTGATTTTGTGTGGTCCGCACAGGGGGTCTGAGAGGAGTATATTAAGACGGGATTTTCAGTTATTTTTCGTTTTTTCAAAACCCCAAAAACATAAGAGGCGATTTTTCAAATACCTTTCTTCTTCAAAACATTGGTAAGTGATTTCTAACTCATTTTCTTCAATCACTAACATCTTTTCACATGATTTCAACTCAAAATCAATGATTTTCATGGGGAAATGGGGTGTTTTGGGTAGAACCTAGGTTTTTCAAAAATTGGGAATTTGGACCTCGATTTGAGGTCCGATTTCAAAATAAATTATATAATTGGGTTCGTGGAGGAATGGGTAATCGGGTTTTAGTTCGAACCTCGAGTTTTGACTATGTGGGTCGGGGGGCGATTTTTGACTTCTTGGATAAAACTTTAGAAAACTCATTTTCATGTATTCCAATTGATTCATTTAGTGTTTATTGATGTAATTAAGTAACTTGTGACTAGATACGAGCGAATTGGTGGTAGAATCAAGGGGTAAAGCTATAGTTGAATCGTGAATTGTGTTCTTTGGCATCGAGGTAAGTGTTCGGTCTAACCTTAGCTTGAGGGATTAGGAGTTGTGTCCTATTTGCTATTTTCTTCTTGTTGAGTACGACGTATAGACATGGTGACGAGTATCTATACGTTGGTGTAAAGCATGACCGTGAGTCTTATATTGTGATTTTCATGATTTCGTTGTATTATTCATGCCTTGGTGAAGATTTCTATTTGTTGTGTAAAGTTGTGGAAAGAATTGTGACTTATAAACATTGAAGGGCGTTGGCTCCAGTTGTATAATGAATTGTGAAAGTATAAGTGATAAATGAAACTCTAGAGGATTGGCTCGAGTTGTGAAGTGAATTGTGAAGTAAAAGTGATAAAGAGAAGAGATCATTATGTTGCCTCCTTGCCGGGCTATTGTTGAGTCGTGGTTCCCTTGCATTGTGTTCTTAATTGATATTACGGATGCTTAGGTTGATGATTATTTGTGTCGGGTAGGGATTGTGGTTATAGCTGAGGTAGTTAGGTGTTGTAACAAGTTTGGTTGTATCTGAGTTAGTTAGGTGTTGTAACAAGTTTGGTTGTAGCTGAGGTAGTTAGGTGTGGTAACGAGTTTAGTTATAGCTGAGGTAGTTGGATGTTGTAACAAGTTTGGTTATAGCTGTTCCTCCCTTGTCGGGATGTGATTACTCATGCTATCGAATCCCTTGCCAGGGTAGTGTCAACATTATTGATCCCTTGTCGGGACTCTTGTTATGATTGTTGTTAATGTTATATATGGATCGGGTTGCACGCCGCAACAATATTATATGTGGATCGGGTTGCACGCCGCAACAATATTATATGTGGATCGAGTTGCACGTCGCAATAACATTATATGTGTATCGGGTTGCTCGCCGCAACAATATTATATGTGGATCGGGCTGCCCTTAGACTGTTACTCTGGATTTACTGTTAATACTGGTATACCCCTGCAACATGTTTCCCTCTCCCATGTTTACTTGCTTATTCATGTTTTACTTTCCGCTGTATATTATATAACTGCACAGGTTTATTTGATAATCTGGTCCTAGCCTTGTCACTACTTCGCCGAGGTCGGTTGTGCTGATATTATACTCTGCACTCTTTTGTGCAGACCCCAGTGTTGTAGACTTTGGACCGCAGTAAGATTGCTGACTCTTGTTCATCAGGCGACCCGAGGTAGCCCTGCAAACGTCCGTAGGCCTTGGCGTCTCCTTTCTATTTACCTTCCTGTTTCTTACATGTATTTCTAGAGACAGTGTTGTATTAAATTCTTTCAAACCTTTATTTGTAGAATTCTTAGACTGTCTGTGAAACTGTGACACTAGTTCTGGGTAGTCGAGACTCAAACAGTTGTAATAGATATTTATGTTCAGATGGCTTATTATTTTCTTCCGCTTATGTTATATTCCGTCGTTTAAATGTTATTTCTTCGTAATTGTTAAAGAGAATAAAATTGGTAAAAAGGTAGATGGTTTAATAATTGGCTTGCCTAACTCACATTAGTAGGCTTCATCACGACTCCCAAGGTGGAAAATTTGGGTCGTGACACTTATCTCCATCACCATTTTTCCTCACCTTTTCCTCGGACCTAATTGGCTCTCCATCTTGCTTTAACTTATCTCCGTCACCATTTTTGTTTATCTTTTCCTCGGACCTAATTGGCTCTCCATTTTGCTTTACCTTATCTTCGTCACCATTTTTGTTTATCTTTCCCTCGGACCTAATTGGCTCTCCATCTTGCTTTTCGTTTTCAGTAGTCTTGGGCTGATAATTCTATTTTTCCTTGTCATGAGTCAGTTTAGAATTTCCACTTGGGCAGCCATAACTAGGTGGTGGCTGACATCCATATGGATAAGGAAATGGGAATGTTGGTTGAGTTATTGGACAATTGCATATAGGCCCAATTATTTGTGGGGGTCCAGGTATAACGGGTGGGTAATTACAATTTCCATTTCCACCACATCCACTACCATATCCTCCACCTCTGCCTCCACCGCCACTGCCGCCTCCACCACCACTGCCACCGTTATTGATGCCTACGCTACCACTGCAACAACCACTGCAACCACAACCAGGCATGCAATAAGGGTTTTCGCATGTTTGTGGAGGTCCAGGTATAACGAGTGGGTAATTACAATTTCCATTTCCATCACAACCACTACCATATCCTCCACCTCCACTTCCGCCGCCACCACCGCCTCCTCCACCGCCACTTCCGCCATTACTTCCGCCTACCCCACCATCACAACCACCACCTATGCTACAACCAGGCATGCAATAAGGGTTTTTGCCTGTTTGTGGAGGTCCAGGTATAACGGGCGGGTAATTACAGCCATTTTTACCACACCCGCTACCATAGGCTCCACCTCCGCCACTGCCACCGCCACCACCACTGACACTGCCACCGCCACCACTGCTACCGCCACCACCTCTGCCACCGCTGGTGTCACCATTATCGCTGTCTACCCCACCACTGCAACCGCCGCCTACGCCACCAACACTAGGCATGCAAGAAGGTTTCGTAACTCCATTTGGACATGCATTTCTTTTGATTTTTGGACTTTCATAGGGTCCAAATCTTTATTACGAGCAGAGCCAAGGGTTAAACACATTTAATGTAATAAGCCCAACATGACAAATTTTGGAGAAGCCATTCTTGCAGGTAATTAAAGACTTATGATGCTTTGAATTACCAAGGGAATACTCATCATCTCTATATGTAGCTTGAAAAAAGAAGCCTAGTTAGCAGTTGATTCTTGTAAATTAAAAAAGCACTCTTTACATTGCTCGCTTTTTTTTTTGTCTACCATTACGGAATCATCAACCTTGCATGGGACATTAAACGAACATGAGTTCTATATGTACGTCAATATAACGCCTATATATATGCCGCTATCTTTTTGAACGAATTCGAACGAATCCAGTAATTTTGCTTAGATTTTGTATTTTTATTAAATATGTAAAAATATTTAATTATGAGCATGATAATTAAGACAAGTTATGAGTTTGATGACGAATTCAGAATACATATACATTAAATTCTAGCTCTACCTCTGCCTCCCTTCCTCCCACCCAGCCACCAAGGAAGATTTACTTCCCAAAATATAGGGCATGTGAGCACATGGTCTATCCGTCAAATTAGGTATTTTATATACATATTTTTTTAAATTGATGATCTAATATTATCTGCGGTTCCCATGCTACAAAGAATGAATAATGTACTTGGTTGAATCTGTTGGAAAAATAATTTGATAACTCAAAAAGAAATATTCAAATAATTATGTCTAGGTTCATTCTCTTAATATAATATTAATGATCTTTATTGTACTAATCAATTTGATTGATTCTCTTTATATTTATTTAGTGCAAATATGATTTTAAAAAATTGTTCAAAACGGCTAAGACAATTAAATAACCTTAATGACATTTACTAATATTCAATATTGAGATGTTTTCTTTTGTAACAGAATGTTAGCCTTATATCCATTATTTTCATCATTTAAGGTTATTTGAATAACAATCATAAAGTGACAATAACACATACACACACACACACACACACACATATATATATATATATATTATCTAGTCCTTTCATTAGAAGATAGATTTGAATACAAATTATTCTTCTCTTTTCTTGTAGTGTGCTGGGTTATCTTTGTTAATTTTTGTTGTTTCTGCTCCTAGTTTATACTAAAAGAGCTTGTTGAATCCAAGGGGATACGCCTAATTTTATTTATCACGATGTGGGCAAAATATCCTTAAGGACAGTATCTTTGACAAGCCTCAAGCTAAATCTTATTCTCCATAATACAATATCTACCAAATTTTTCCAACAATCTTATGGATATTTCCACATTTTTTTAATTATAGAGAATCAAATTTGACATTGTCCAAGTTATTATTCTAATTCTGAAAATGGAACCTACACTTCAAGTTTGTACAAGGTCTTATAAAGAATACCACTCTTTATTAAAATTGTTTTTGTGAGCAACGAAATGTTAATCAAGTTGCTATTTCGATTTTGTGCATTATCGCATTATGGAGGGTAAATTGCACCACAAAATTAAGGTACGTTTTTATAGTATTTAAATGCACCTAAGCCTACAAAAATGTAGACTTTTATTGTTATCTATTTTTTTAAATCTTGAAAGCTCTAAGATAGTGGGTTTAAATTTAAATCTCCTCCGTATTAGTATGATAGAAATAATAGATAAGATAAGATCTCCATGTTTTTGTGACTTATTGGGTGAAGCTATATCATTAGCTTGTTATTTATAAATTGGTGGAACTCTTTATGAGTTGTGAAAATGTTATCTCCTTAACTTGAAATTTTCGAAAATGTGAGGGACCATGGTGTCCTGAGTTATCTAGCTTGATCCTAAGAAGAAGGGGAAAAAAATAAAAAAACTGTTTATTAAAATTATAACATTGAAGCCTTACAAAAATGAGATTTTTTGTGGAAAAAAAAATATTGGAGGATCAAAAGTATGTTGTATTTTTGGCTCTGAAAAGTTATTTCATTACGGATCTCTTAGTCATTTGGGTGATGAAAAAATCATTGAATTATGATCCGCTTCCTATTGATTTGAGATATTTCTGTAGAAGTTAAAGTTGCTCCTATATTTTAGAAAATTTATTTTGGTGCTTGACTATGGAAGATACATAAAGAAAATAAATTCTCATGTGTTGAAAGATGTTTCAAAAGGCACTGATAAAGAAGTCAAGTTTTGTTTCATTTGAGATGATTTTATGCCTTATTTGAGAAATACTATGAGTTAGTATTTTGTATGTGAATCTTCCACTGTATTAGAAGGATACATTGATGATATTGAATCTCTGATTCAGATGAGAAAAAACTAGCTAGTTGTTGTATGATCACCTTTTGGTGGTGGTTACGATATTGGAATTATCTGACAATGAGGTTGATTAAGCAACCTCTTGGTGAGTTAAACCGACAATAATTATGTCGATGAATTGTGATTACCAAGGCGCAATAGCCGTTGTAAGAAAATAAATCTTTCAATGGGAAGAGTAGATACATTATCTTGAGACATAATGTGATAAAACAATTGCGCAGAAAGAAATTTTTATACATATTATGTGTAGTCAAACGAGGATTTGGCCGATCCTTTGACTTATAAGTAAAACATCGAGGGGTTGAGACTTTTTCCAATTTGAGATGTATCAACAATGATGGTAACCCAACTTATGTGATTGGAGATCCCATGAAGTAGGTTCATATGGGTAATAATAAGTCATTAGTTGATCAAATGTGCACTATTAAAATTATGTCTCTTCCTATGGCGTGCGTGTATATAGTGCAAGGCTGCAAGGAATGTGAGGTTGAGTTATTAAACTCTTAATCCAATAATTCATAGTCTTTTATAGGTGGTGTATTGCGTTGCAGAATACACTTGATGGATGGACCTATATGAGTGTGGAGTAGGGCCGCTCCTATGATTGTGATGACCCAAAAGGTCATCACTTGTTTAAAATAAAATTCTGCGTTTCGAGGCCTTAAAAACCTCTTTTAGCATCACTTCGATTTGCGTGCGCAGTCCGGGCGCGTAGTCGAAAAGCCCAAATGTAAAAATCTGTGAAAATGATAAATTTTGACTATAAAATGAATTAATTTGACTTCGGTCAATATTTTGGGTAAACGGACCCGGTCCCATGATCCGGGACCGTAGGAAAATATGGGACTTGGGCATATGCCCGGAATCGAATTCCGAGGTCCCACGCCCGAGAAATGAATTTTTGAAAGAAATTATTTTCTGAAAAATATAAAGGTTTTTGAAAGTGAAATGTTATGTTGAAACCTGTGGTATCGGTCCCTTATTATGGTTCTGCAGCCCGGTACAGGTTCGATATGATTTATATATGTTGTCTATAAAGTTTGGTGAACAACGGAGTTTATTTGACGTGAGTTGGACTTCCGGTTGAAGAGTTATGAACTTTGAGAGTTCTTGATGAAAATGTTGAGTTTTGAGGTTTAATTCATGATTTTATATGTTATTTTTGATGATGTGATCACACGAGTAGGTCCATATGATGTTTTTGAGTTAGTATGCACACTTGGTTTGGAGTTCCGAGGGCTCGGGTGAGTTTCGGGTAGGTTCCGGGATGTCTTAGGCTTAAAAATATAGTTGTTGCAGGTTCAGAGAAGTCGAAGGCCTCTGAACAGACCAGTGTGGTCCGCACAAAAAGGAATGCTGCCGCGGAGGGGCTTGTGCGGCTGCACTAGATTTTGTGTGGACTGCGGTGAGGGCTTTGCGGCCGCACTAGATTCTGTGCGGTCCGCGGTGAAGAACATTTCACTGGTCCGACTTCGGAAGCCTATATCTTTTGATTTACAAGGAATTTTGAGATGATTCAAAAATGAAAGTTGTAGCCCTTCGTGTCTAGTTTCTATAAGGGTAAAGAAATTACAATTTGGACATTTTTAAAGAAAGTTATGGCCAAAATACTAAAACATATCACTGCAGTCCACATGGGAGCTGTGCGGCCGCAGTTGATTTTGTGCAGTCCGCACAGGGGTCTGAGAGGAGTATATTAAGACAGGATTTTCAGTTATTTTTCATTTTTTAAAACCCCAAAAACATAAGAGGCAATTTTTCAAATAACCTTTCTTCTCCAAAATATTGGTAAGTGATTTCTAACTCGTTTTCTTCAATCATTATCACCCTTTCACATGATTTTAACTCAAAATCAATGATTTTCATGAGGGAAATTGGCTGTTTTGGGTAGAACCTGGGTTTTTCAAAATAATTGGGGATTTGGACCTCGATTTGAGGTCCGATTTCAAAATAAATCATATATTTGGGTTCGTGGGGGAATGGGTAATCGGGTTTTGGTTCGAACCTCGAGTTTTGACCATGTGGGCCCAGGGGCCATTTTTGACTTCTTGGGTAAAACTTTAGAAAACTCATTTTCATGCATTCTAATTGATTCATTTATTGTTTATTGATGTAATTAAGTAACTTGTGACTAGATACGAGCGAATTGGTGGTGGAATCAAGGGGTAAAGCTATAATTGAATCGTGAATTGTGTTTGTGGCATCGAGGTAAGTGTTCGGTCTAACCTTAGCTTGAGGGATTAAGAGTTGTGTCCTATTTGCTACTTGCTTCTTGTTGAGTACGACGTATAGGCATGGTGATAAGTATCTATACGTTGGTGTCGAGCATGACCATGAATCTTAAATTGCAACTTGTTGTGTTCTTAAATGATACTACAGATGCTTTAATTGATGACTCTCGATATTGAGCAAGGATTAAGTTTGTTTTCGTTGAAATTACTAAGTTTGAGTGTTGGTTATAGCTGTTTCTCCCTTGCCGGGACGTATTTATTTATGTTGTCGATTCCCTTGCCGGGATAGTGTAGTTTGTCATTGATCCCTTGCCGGGACTATTGTTATGATTATTGTTGACTGTATATATGGATCGGGTTGCACGCTGCAACATTAATATATATGGATCGGGTTACACGCTGCAACAAATATTATATT